GAAAATTCTATACACTATATCTTCATTTTCGCCTACTTTTACATTGGCGGAAAATGGATAGAACACTAGAAAACTGAAAATTCATTTCCGAGATAAAAGAAGAAAAGCGAATGAAAATTCGGACAAGTTTTGCACTTGTTCCCCATTTTCGCTCAACTCTAAACAATTGGAAAATTGTTGGTACCATGAAAAACCGAGCGTCCATTCACGTAATAAAAGAGGAAAAACGAAAGAAAATTCGGAAAATTTGTACCACTACTGTTTCCATTCCCCTTCCTCTTAACGGAATGATTGGAATTTTGAAAATTCGAGCAATAATTCAAGAGATAAAAGAGGAAAAGTGGAAGAAAATTCTATACATTATATCTTCATTTTCGCCTACTTTTACAATGGCGGAAAAAGGTTAGAACACAAGAAAACAGAAAATTCATTCCCGAGATAAAAGAAGAAAAGCGAATGAAAATTCGGACAAGTTTTGCACTTGTTCCCCATTTTCGCTTAACTCTAAACAATTGGAAAATTGTTGGGACGATGAAAAACCGAGCGTCCATTCACGTAATAAAAGAGGAAAAACGAAAGAAAATTCGGAAAATTTGTACCACTACTGTTTCCATTCCCCTTCCTCTTAACGGAATGATTGGAATTGTGAAAATCCTAGCATCCATTCGGAAGATAAAAGCGAATGAAAATTTTGAAAATTTCCTACACTATTTTCTTATTTTTGTCTACTTCTGCATTGCCTACAAATTTTTTTAACAGTAAAAAACAAAGTCTTCATTCCCGATATTAAAAAGTATTAATATGCATATATATTGTAGCTAAAATCGCATTAGTCGCACAGTTCGAGTGTATCTCGACTCTTTGTGTTGGCGAATTAAGCGAGATTTGACGAGTTTGACTCACAGTTCTCCTCGATTTTTCTCGCCTCGTGAGCGGAGGGCCTAACACTTTCAGATATAGTTTTTAGTATTTTTTCTATATAATATGGTTATATTTTATCATTTGGGGGGAGCGAGGAAAGAGAGGGCTTCAGCCCGAAAGTCCCCCCTCCTCCCCATAGATCCACTTCTGGTTGAAGTCGATCTTCCGGTCTTGCTCGTAATTCAAACGATCTCCAGTAGGTCGCCTTAAAACGCGATGATTACATTTATACTTTTTGAGGATTCAGACACATTGGCTAATCATTGGAATGTAGCTAAAAGACATTAAAAATTAATATACTCTAATTTCTCAATACAAACTTTATCAAGACAAAGTCTTACAAATCGATGACAAAATCGTTAATCGTTTGTAATAATATTTTTTTTTCTGTCGACATTACAGGATTTGTAAATCTTTTGCCGCCTTAACCACTGTTATCCATCTTGGGCTATTTCTTCCAAGTTTTCTATATGGAGCTCTTTGCATCTTTATTGATTCGATCTTTCCATCTTGTTTTAATTCATCCATTTGGTCTTTTATCTACTATTGAGGCATTTATTGTTGTGCACAAGCATCCAGATGGATTTCTCCGATATGCATGCCTCGCCCATCTTAACCCCATATCATGAAATAAAATTTAGTAAATCGCTGAAACGGGCGATTACTAGAGCATTTATTGCATGAGTTATTTCACTTAAAAACCTAATTTCACGACTGAATTATCATATATAGATAATTTTTTTTTATTTTCATCACAATTCATGGACCGCAGTACTTATGTTAGTAGAGGTCTTAATGCGGTCCTCGGGACTTGTTGAAGATCTCTAGGTCAACCAAAAACCTCTGCGGAGACCCCTGCTGTAGACGACTCTTTTGAAAGGGATTTTCGGCATTTTAATTTAATTCCTTTCACTTTGAGCGCTCAGTTTAAATTAGGCTAAAATAAACGAATATTTTAGAGTGAGTTGGAAGGGGGGAGCGCAGAGGAAATACCTCGAAAAAGTGTTGAAAGGATGTTTTTGAAAGTTAGGATTAGTTTAATTTGGAGTGGTTCGTCACACTAGGTTCATTCCATGTCAAATCAACCAGCTTCTGGCTCAAAGGGTCTTGGATTTAGATAATTTTTTGATTATTTGTTGAATGCATTGATAAAAAGAAAAATACAAAATTTTAGATTTTCCGGACCTACGATTATTGAGTTATAATTTTTTTAAATAATATAAAATCTCGAAAACAGTGCGTTTTAATAGGTTTTGGGTTATTTCTCAAAAACTAATTGACCTAGAAAGCTGAAACCGGTGTCATATATTTTGGTTGCTTATGCTCTTTCTTTTGATTTACGACATGACTATATTCTATAAATGAAATAATTTTCCAAGAAAACCAAAACCTTTATTTTGGTATTTTAGAAATAAAACCTTTTGATTTATATTAAAAAAGCATACGTTATTCTAACTCATCTTAGCTAAAGTTGTGCCAAATTTCAAAGTGAGGAACAATGGATTCACAAGATAAAAATGTTGACCTGCAATACCTCACACTAAAAACGCCGTCAAGCTCCGCCAATATTAAAATATTAACATTTTTAAATTTAAATTTATGTAAATATATTTTAATTGAAATGCTACTTACGTGTACATACAACTTAAATGCAATATTTACAAATCCCGGTTTTATGTGTCTCTTATGTAGTATAAATATATTTTCAATAATGAACCATTGGGATCTAACAGAATCACAAGAATTCAAAAAACGAATAAAATTTTTTTGACCGTCCGCCTTCCGTGCATTTTCTCCGAAACTACAGGACCAATTTTTTTCAAAGTTCGATTTAAAATTAGGGGTCATCCGAGGATGATCCTCCTTCATCGACATTTCTATAAGCCTTTTCATTTCAAGATGGCGATCGAAAACCCTGCGTTGCTATAGACTGTAGCACCTAAACGAATGTACCTAATTCAATGAAACTTCGCTAAAGTCTTTTTCTCGATGCCCTTTATTTTTTTCTATATAACAAACTTCAACGAAAAGAAGCTGGGAAAAAGTTACGAAGTATGGCAAAATTAAATTACTGATAACTCAAAAAATATAAACTTTTTGTTGATATTGTATATGGCTATTTAAAATTTTATGGAATTTCCTATAAAAAAAAAGAAATCGTTAAATTAGGTGCAAAGATATGGTCTCTAGTTGTTTTTTACATGTTCTACTGAAAAGGTTATATCCTTTATTTTTTTAATTTGTTACTGTAGTAATGTTAATTTTTTTAGCATATTACTAATGATTAAAAAAAAAATGTTCAGTGCGATAATTTGAATCACCTTTTATTTCTTTTTTTGCCAAAGATAATGTTACTTTAGATGTATAATTGTTTAGAAATAATAAACCATTGTGAAATAATTTGAATCGTTTTTTATTTTATTTTGTAAATTGATAGTCGATTTATTTATTTCTTCACGGGGTGGTGCATATGTCCTCCCAGTCGCAGTCCTTGGGACATCTTTTTCATTAGAAAAAGAAAATTCCATAATAATTTAGAACTAACGTTAAAAGCATCAAATTGTCGACTAATCTGACATATCTTGGTGTACACTTCGACAGGCATTTAAATTTACATGACATTTTGACAAAAAAATTAAAACAGTTAAAAGGCAACAAGACTTCAAAATATATATATATTTTTCCACATCTATCTATCTATCTATCTTAATGTCTCTATAACTCTCAGAGGGTCATGGTCTCCTCAATGAGATTCCGCCAAATTTATATATTCTGTGCGGCTACTTTTCAGTTTCTGACTCCCAAGGCAATGACGTCAACTGCCACACCATGTGCCCATTTCAATTCCTTACACTTCTTTCTAGGATCGTTCGAAGTGTGAATATTTGATTAATAGTTGGTCTACCTTTTCGAAAACCAACTTGATATTTTCCAATTTGACAATCAGCGAATGGCGCTAATCTCTTATAGAGGACGTTGGTATCTTATATGCGCACTACAGTAACGAAATCTCGGTAGTTGGCGCATTCCATTTGTTCTCCTTTCTTGTGTACAGGACATACGACTCGTATGACCGCAAATTGCATTGAATAGGCATTCTTTCCTGTATTCAGATGGGGAATATCAGATCATAAATGAGCTTATGTAGCTCTCCGCCACCATATTTAAATAACTGAGATAGTAGTCCATCACCTCCTGGTGCCTTATGGTTTTTTCACATACTCTCCTTTATATTTTTCTTGAGTTCTTACAAATTTTCTTTTTATAAATAACTTTATAAACCTTTTACTCCTAAAAGAACTGGACTGGATATCCAATGTTTTTAAACTTTTCATTGAGGTTCCTCTGCCTATTTTTCTTATTAATCCATTCTGAAATTATTGGAACCTCTGTCTAGTTATTTTACTGACATGCTCAGTCAATGGTGCACCCAACAAAAGAGCCGGACGAATAATGGTAGTATAGATGAGGACCTTCAAGCGTCAAAAATGAGCTTCAAAACATAAGCTGGTTGTCCTAATTAAAATAAAAAAATAAGTACACAATAAGAGACAGTTGAACAGTGATATGCAAATATTATATTTAAGTTTTTGTACTTCTTTGAATAAACTTACGTGTAACATTTAAATAAAAATATATATGCATAAATTTAAATTTTAAAATGTCTATATTTTAATATTGGCGGATCTTGATGGCGTTTTGATTTTTTCTTCTTCAATCATTAAATTAATATTTTTGCCAACAATTTAATATAATCGTGCAAAATAACCCAAAGCGTGCAGTGCCGTGCTGCATAAAATTGTGTTTAAAACAATCAATCCCACGTGATTTGGATTAATAATTAACGATTTTTGAGTAGCTGATTAAAAGAAGCAATTGCACAGTGACCTGCGCTATATTACCAATATTTGTCCATAGAAAACAGACCATTTTAAATAATTAACTGCTTTTAAACCATTGACTCGCGAACTTTTGACTAGTACAATGTTTACATTTTTATAACAAGTTAACAAAATGTTAAGTCAACCGTATATAATTATAGAGATCTTGAAAAAACATTAATATGAAATTTTACTTACGTATAATGTCTGTCCTGACCGGCATTGGACAATTTTTAATTTTTATTGCATGTTCTTCATCCAATATTGACCAAACTGTTATTCGAGGTGGCACTGGTAATGGTATGCGACAAATTATTTCTTGATGTTTGCATTTTCTTCGCTTTTTTAGTTTGAAAACCTTTAGTTGATTAGCAGATCTGGAAAAAAAAAATACAAAATTTTGCTATTAAAACAATGAACATGATCTTAGACGATAATCGTGGGTTGTCACGTTTAACTCTAGATTAATGGATGGTACTTCACTTCGCTCAGCCAATATCGTATCAAATTGCTTTCTATTTTAAGTTTAAATGGATGTTGTGGAATCGCCGAATGGAATTATTCTTACCTCGTTAGACGTAATTTTTTTTTGTTTATTTTTCCAACACTGATGGCGCTTTCTTCCATGAAGCAAGTTTCCAAGAATAAATAAACAATCTATTCCTACATTTAGTATTTTAAACAAAAATAATGATAAAATAAGTACTTCTACACGTGTTTTTCTAGATTATTAAATCCTAATAGTTTAAATACACTGTGCAATAATTAAACCATATTTTTAATTTGTATTGGTCTGTTAAAAATTATTTAGACTAGCACACCTTCCTTTATTTAAGCGATAATAATTTATTTTCACATAAAGCAACTTGTTAACACGTTCGATCTGTTTACTCCTATAATCAGTAGTACTATTTATCTTAATTTACTACTATATAAAATGGAAGAGGTTCGCTTTAACTTACCTGTACATGAAATAAATACATATGGTATTGGAATGTATTGTGAAAAATACTTCCTTGAAAAAATACCTATTTCTTATAGAAATACACGTTTTAACGTCCAAATAACCAAGTTTCGCGAGATATTTTTTTGTGTGGATCAATGTGAACAACCTCGTTCAAAAACGGAAAGTTGGAAAATTTGCCAAAATCAATTGCTGGATCATTTAATATATATATTATTTCATTTCCATCATTTAAATTTATCCATTTTTCATAATTTCTAACCATGAAAGACGGTTAATGATAATTTATTGTTATTTGTGCAATCATTGTGATATTAAAAGAGCTTATTTTTAATAGTACAATAATTTACAGTATCTGTCAACTCAGGTTTTCTTCAAGTCCAACAAACAGATATAGATTAAAGAAAAGAAATTCTAAGTATTTAAGTTCAATCATTCCATTGGGATGAAACTAAGCTTATATTAAAATTAAATAAATAAAAATCATGGGAGCCATTTTTTATTGGAATTTGTAATATATTTATTAATTTATATATATTACAATTTCCAATAAAAAATGGCTCCCATGATTTTTATTGATTTAATTTTAACTTTTTACACTAATTTATAATCGAATGATCATTAATATAAGCTTAGTCTCATCCCAATGGAATGATTGAACTTAAATACTTAGAATTTCTTTTCTTTAATCTATATCTGTTAGTTGGACTTAAAAAAAACCTGAGTTGACAGATACTGTAAATTATTGTAGTATTATAAATAAGCTCTTTTAATATCACAATTATTGCACAAATAATAATAAATTATCATTAACCGTCTTTCATCGTTAGAAATGATGAAAAATGGATAAATTTAAATTATGGAAATGAAATAATATAGTACTATAGTTCTAAAATACTACATATAGACATGGATCTCCTCATAAAACGCCCATTATCCAGAAGTAAACTACTTCCACGTATGGGTCCCCGAGTGTTGACGGCTTTGGAAGATTCAAGGGCCATGTTAATGGATTTAGATATAACACTGTAAAATGTAAGAAATTTTAATCTTAAAATTTTAATTTTAAAAAGTTGGGTTAAAATTGCTCGGAAACGGAGTTGATCATTGATTTAAAACCGTGTTGATATACAAACATTCTTTTACCGAAGACAGTGATGATGAAGTCTATGCAAATTTTATGATGAACTGCTCTTTTGCCACAGACAAATATAGCTTTGAAAAGTACAACGATGAAAAGTATAAATTGAAATCAATGGATACATGGTATATTCTCGCGTGGCTTCTATTTATGATGGGCTACCAGAAAATCAGGCTGCTAAATTTCCAGCTTCCTGTTCATCAACAGTTTTCATTTTCATATTCATCTTCATATTCACTCGATCATCATCCTAATGCAGTAACCAACCATGATCTGTCTTGACCCCATACAATCAACATGACAGTCCTATCAAAGATTCTATTCAGAACATATTGGTCTCTTGAACTTAAGGTTTCAGGCCCTTGGTGCTACTCACTAAAGGAAACGCCTGCTAGGCTATGCAGTGATGAATATGTTTTTCCGAAAATTTATTATGGATATTAATATTAACATTAATTTCTTTGTATTTTTTTCAATTTCGCTTGGATTAACCTCTCCCTCTCCGATATTTTATTTTAAAAGATAAAACGGATACATATTTCGGTAGATGGGCGATACTTTGTTTTACTTTTATTTTTTGGGAGGAAGGGGTTAAACCCCCCTCTTCCTCCGATATATCTGTTTTTAAAGATAAAACGGATACATATTTCGGTATATGGGTGATACTTTGTTGTATTTTTATTTTTTTTTTATTTTGGTGAGGGTTAACCTCCCCCCGCCGAATTATTTTTTAAAGATAAAATGGCAACATACTTGAATAGGTGGGTGATACTTTTAATACAAAATTTAATAATAATTTTTTTTATTACTAAACTTTCTTTTAAGCATTGTGTTTAGCAGCCGTTTACGTCATCCTACGGTGGATCTAGGCTACATTCCCAGTTCACACCATAGTTTCAAGGCACATTGATTCTTCAAGTTCTTAGTTATACATGAATCTTAATATTATTTGAAAAATTTAGTCTGTCTTGTATACATTATTTTCACTTGAATTCTATTGCCGCACAAATGTTCGTGATTTTTTCCTTGCAAGTACCCAATTATTAATTCTTACCTTTTTCTATAATAACTAGGTGCTATAGTGGTATTTTATGAGGAGATTCATGACTATATATGGTATATTGGTACTATAATGGTATTTTTTTATTTAAAGATATGTTAGTTCGGCGTACAATTCTTTATCATACCCTCTAGCAAGCCTGAAAGGCCCACTCTCATTATTGATCAACGGGTCCATAGGAATAAGCCAGGAGGAGCTTCTAATGAATTTCCACCTACCATCTCCAATTCGCAACCCGTAGATCGCTTCCCAACAAGATAAAAAGATTCGCGTGAGACATTAGGATAGTTATAAATACGTATTCTTCCTTTTTTGAAACAAATAATGATGTTAAATTCAAAAGGAACCATGTATAGGTTTAAATTCTCTTTAAAGTAGCTAAAAAATATGAAATATTGAAAACTATGTTTTGTAAACTAACTAAAAACTATGCACATTTGAAGTATTTATAAATACAAGATGTTTAAAATAATTGTTTTTAATTAATCTCTCTTACTAATCACATCAATAGAGATGCTAGTAAAATATTTAGTAATAGTATATATTTAAAATATATAAATATATATTATGGTATACGTTAATGGTATGTTCATTCATAGTATCTTTAAAATTAAACTAATGGTACACTGAAATTATATCCCTGATAAGCTATTATTTATTCTTTACAGTTATCTTTTCGACTTCCATGTTTCTTGATAAAAAAGTTTCTACCTCGTAGCAGGATAGATGGAGGTTATTAAATGTGGATACAAACATTGATAATGAGAAGTAATTTTCCTCCTTTCACAAAATGGGTTTTGATATTGGAACGATGGTTTTGTGACTATGTTTATAATTAATCTTTCAATATAGCATATTCTTAACAAGATGGATGTTGATTTATTGCGACCTGGCACTGTACCTATTTCTCCTGATACATCTTTGTGGTTTGAGTTTCTTCTCCAGCCGGCGCATTTAGAAAAACATTTAAAAAATCCTAATGCAGGTAAAATGTTTCAACTATTCGAAAATATAAAATCGATACTAGTTCTGAATTGTTATTCCAAGTTAGTCGGCTTGTTTTAAGATCACTTTGATCACCCTGTAGATGAAACTTTGAGGATGTGATAAGTAGATAAGTACAGATGTTTTTTGTCCTTAAATGCACTGTGGCTTGATTTTGATCATAAGTGTTTCAATTTTTTTTTTTAATAGCCTGTTTTTACAAGTAATTTTCAACTTGTACCATAATTAAGAGGCTATGATCTAACCTACCAGTTGTACATGGGAGTTGGAGGCGGGATTTGATCCTATGATCTTCTCTTTACTAGTGAAGTACACTAACCACTTACCAATTGATATATGATAACTTATAAAACCGTTAAGAGCAAATTCAGAAAAAAGTAACATATAAAAACAGTAAAATTTTATAAAATATTTTTTTTCTCGGCTCATATGGCACATTGGCTAGGACCCTCAGACATGGGCCTAATATTTTTCGATCTAGTATCACCTAAAAATTTCAGTTCAAAAAAGTTCATTTTGTTTATTGATCACTCCAACCATTCTCTTCAATTATTTACTATAAGTCAACCATCAATCCATAATTCTAAAAAAGTTTCATTGAAATTGGTGACCCTACGTCCATAACCTTCCCTTGTAAGTAAAAGTAATTTCATGTATGAATATAAGTAACATATGCTTATGAAAGTATATATCACTTAGTGCATTAATTTCACAGGTTTTTAAATAGTTGGATTTGCATGAGGGTCATTTTTTAACTGAGAAAGTAAACTGTTATCACACCAAGTACTACCTCTTATTATTCTATGCCACTCTTTATATAACTTCCCCTGAAGTGTTATATATCTCCGAGCTTCAATTTCTTGGTTAGAAGACTTTTACGTTCATAAGAAAAATCTGACGCATCCCATAAGTTTCACTTACCACCCTCTTTTTAGCAGAAAAATGTATTTTCAGACAAAGGGAAAGTAAAAGTAAAAATTATAGACGCTATATTTATTTATATTTCATTGTGGGTATTTTTAGTTGTATAAGTACCCTTATATCTACAAATTTTAATATTTATATCGCTGTAATCTATACAATTAAATATGAAATAATACCAACAATAGCATTTATGAAAACGACATATGTATATTTATATAATAATGTTGGAGTCCGTATTATATTAAGCTCATGTTGCGTGTGGAAGCGGGTTCTAATCTTTCGGGCGAGCTCGGATGCGATTGTATTCCTTTGATTCATCAATTACAACTATTCTTCGTTACGATTCATATTTCTCCTTTAATTAATTATCAAATTCTTTCATATTTTATATTTAACTATGTTTTATATTAGAAATTAATGTGAAATGGTCAATTTTTTCAAATAAAAAAAAATAAAGATACTTTAGAGGAAGCTAATATTGAAAATTAGCTATTTAAGGCCTGTTAGAGAACATCAATCAGAATAAAAACTACATTTTACTTAAAACTGCTTAATTTTACACTGATATGATGAATTTAATGAAAATCATTAGAGCCATTTTGGAGGAAATCGTAAAAATGTGTTTAATCCATTATATAAAGTGCTACTTCCAGTAAGTCGATTTTAACGAAAAGATTGCTGTAACATTCCTAGCATATAAAAATCTTGAGTATGCAATTTCACTTTCGTACGAATTTTAGTTTTTGAGCTAGACTGTTAAGACACAGACGATTCGAAAATTTTCACGTATGCAATATTTTCCTTTAATATATATTTCATATATAGGTAAGTGAAAGTAAAAAGTGATGAACCTGTTACCAATCCTTTTGTGAAGTCATGATGCCTGAAGTACCTCGTGCTGCATCCTTTTCCAGAGACCTGTAGTCTCAATAAACCTAACCTAATAATTGGGCGTAATAATCCTGCAATTTATCGCCCAGAAATCCCTACCCTTCCCTATTGTATAAAATTTGTAACATATGGTTGGGGATTGGTGCTGTACGTCTTCTCATTGACTAACTAGGGTCATTTTATGATTTTATCTACAGTTTGCTCAAATAGAAATAGAAATGGACCTTGGAGTAGTAATTCAGTAGTGTAAATTGAAAATTAAATTTGTTATATGAATAAAGGTTTTATTTATGAATTTTAATTTATAAATTTTCCTTGTATGTTAGACCCAACTCCTGTTGAGCTGATAATTAAGTTTATTACTTTATCCCAAAGTGAAAAACCTACTAATGATCCTCTTGTGATCAATAATTTGAAGCCTTTCAGTAAAAGATGTTTAGCACTTAAACTTCTTGCGTTGAAAGTAGCTTCTTCTCTGAATTGGGACTTGGATCTCTTTGAGAAGTCGTAAGTATATATATTATTATTAAAAAGTTTAGCTTAAACTTGAAAAAGTTATTTTACACACTTTAATTTTGTTTTCAGCCTCCCTATGAGCATTACATCAATGCTGTTGAAGGATTTTTTATATATTGTAAGTCCTACCCATTCTGATATAAAGGTTCATGATGAATTAAATTTAAATGAGGTTCCAGCACATGTGTTATTTGCTATTTTTCTTTACCATCGTTGGGTATTAAGAGCCTATGTTAGTCTCAGTTTAAATGCAAAAACAAAGCAAATAGTTGAAACATCTGTGGAAGAAATATCAGAACAAGAAGCTGAAAAATCATCTATATTTTTGAAGAAAATGGCTGAAAAAACCCTTACACTTTTTGTCCCAGCTCCTTCATGTTTCAATCTTCCTTATGGTAATGCAGATCCTGAGCATTTCTGGACTAAAGGTGAAGCACTTGAGGGTAACCAAATCAAAACTGCGATACTCATCGATCTTTCGTTTTATTTGGTAAATATAATTCTAATTAATTAATGTCATAAATAATTGAAGACAAGCTGTATTTGTCATAGTTGTTAAAATTCACTAATAAGAACATTTTTCCAAATGCTCCCCTGCCAATTCCCCCACTTAGTCCTCTTTGAAAATCCATTTTATTTTAGTAATTGCTGATGACTCTGCCATTTTTTATTTGATGTTCATATGTACTATATAATTTTATCCTGCTATATCTATTTTTTTACCAGAATTAAAATAGTATTTTTTACCAGAATTTGATGAAATACTCATAAATTTTCGAGTTGAAATTCATATTTCATTTGTTTTTTAGCAAATAGCACTTTTATTTGTGATAATAAACAAAAACATGTGGAATAAAAAGTAAAGTGCATTTCTCATTTTTTCAAAATGTGCAACTAACATTACGTTTTGTGGGTCGAGAACACCGACAGACAGCAAAATATTAATGTGACACTTATCTACTACCCATTGTCTATTTCATTTATTAGAACTGATACCATATTATGACATATGATAGTAATCTACATCTCTTTAGCATACTAACTAATGCCATACCACCACTGCCATATATTTTACAGAGTATTAAAGGTAAAAATGGTTTCTTTGTATTTAATTATTTGCAATTTTAAGTTTGGGGCAAAATTTCGCACATGCCTTTAATTTTGAAGATCTCATTATATATATGCTATGAACCTGTTGTATCCGAGACTTGCAATAAGCAGCAGCTGTGGAATTAAGAAAACCCTCTTTTTTCTTAGCAATTACTATGCTTATTCAAATTGTTGCCTAACCAAAAAGGTATCCATAATTATGTATCAATTAATATTTATACTAAATATATAAATGTTTATACTTAATATATAAATACAATTTTTTTTTTTTTGTTCCCCTTGTTCTTCCCTACCTTACCCTACAGGTTACCAATTTATTCTAACTAGAGTTGAAAGATTGAATTTCATCCTGTTGGTCTATAACAAAATAAATTTTAACCTGTCCAAACTAGGTTTGGTAATGGAACTAAACTTAAGGTTGTTAAGATTGGAGCGTGGATTGTACTGCACGGGAGTCTTTCTCGACGTTGAACAGGCGTTTGATAGGGTCTGGCACCCTAGACTAATGTACAAAATCCGTAAATTCCTGCCACCTACATACTTCCTCATCATCCGCTCCTACCTTACTGATAGATGCTTTAAAATAAATCACAAAAACTCTTACTCATCCCTTTTTCCCCAGTCTGCTGGTGTTCCTCAAGGTAGTATCCTTGGTACTATCCTTTACACAGTTTATGCAGCTGACATCCCAACCCATCCTGACACTTTCATCACCACATATGCTGATGACACATGTATCCTATCTGTTAAAAATGCTCCATCAACTGCATCCCAAACTCTCCAATCACATATCACAAACCTTGAAGAATGGTGTAAAAACTGGAGAATTAAAATAAATTCCAATAAATCCCATCAAATTACCTTTACCCTGCGTCCCAAACCCAGGACCTCCTGTCCTACAGTATCATTTAATAATTCCCCACTTGTCTCAGTTGAACGAATCCGTTACCTAGGACTCCACCTGGACAAACGACTCACTTGGAAACCTCATACAAGACTGAAACAACAAGAAACTGCTCGACGTTTCCGACTACTCCCAACACTTACAAGATAAACGCTCTCAAGCTTTCAATCAATTAAAAACGACTCATATATATGACAATAATAAGACCTATTTGGACTTACGGGATCGAGCTTTGGAGCTCCACTAAACCGTCAAATTCTTCTCGTATCCAATCCTTACAATCCAAAATCCTTTGTAAAATCCTCAATGCTCCTTACTTTGTCACAAATAAAATCATCCATAAAGACCTTAATGTTCCACATGTTTACGATTTGGCCCAATCCAGATACCTATCCTTCCATAACAAACTCCAGAACCATCCGAATCCTCTCGTTTCAAACCTTGCTTCCTCCTCGATCTCTGATAACCCTCCGAGGCGTCTGAAAAGAAGATGGCCTCGTGATCTACTTATGTAAATATATTATTAGAGTGCTACCAATGGGTAGTTTCTCAACAAGCATTTCCATGTGATTGTATTATCACTGTGTGCACATTTACTAGTTGTATTTTTTTTTTAATACAGTTATAAATATCAATGAATAAAAATAAAAAACATAAAAAAAAGAGGTTGTTAAGGTTCTGATACCCTGACAGTCTTGGCTATAAAAGTATCAAAGAAGTTACACATTGAATTATTTTCTCCTCCACTATCTTTTACTGCCTCTAACTTCTTTCTCCATTCTGATAAACCATTGCCTATATGTACGAGTAAATTATTTCTGTCCTTGCAAGTACGCTCTTAAGATATGTTGCTGGCGTGTCTCAATTGTTAAAGATAATTATGACATATCAAAGTTTGCTCATTGGTAAGACATTTTAATCTGGTTTTGCTTTTCTAAATCTGAAACTAACTTTATTCAAGTTTGTATATCTATGAGGTTTTATCTATTTTAAGCCATGAATCTATCTTGTCTTTGTAGTTGTAAAGAAAAGAATCATTCCGATATCACTGTGCTACTTGATCAACCATATCAATCATATAATATTGTTTAGTCTGCTTATTGTCAACTAGGTGTTTACGAAAATAAAATTCCTTGATGAGAGCCTCTAATGAAGTAAAAAAATCTGTGTTGGATCCTTTAACAACTACTTTAGAGTTTTCCTAGATCTTTTCTAAAGTAATATTAGAACAAGACTTTAAAAAAATATATAAAGTAGGATTATGGGGATCTAATAAGTCTTTTTATTATTAGCATTTAATTTATTTAGAATTTAAAGAACAAGAATCAATTATTTTCTGTAATATACAGGTGATGAATTTTTGTAATTTGGCTATTGGTGATTGTTTGCGAAATGAAAAATTTTCATCATGCAGACTAATATTTGTCAATACACTTTTCTAGAACAATGTACGTCCAAGTCATCTGCAGCCATTAGTGTTGATATTTTCGTTATATTCGTGTCTTCAGCTACTGCTCATAAAAATTGTTTGCTTGTTGTATTCCTTAAATACTTTCTTTCTTGTATGTTGTATATTCTGTATTTTGTTCAAAAATTATGTCATGAGAATTTTTCTTTGAGACTGTTCTATGTTGATTACTTTTCATTTTTGGTAGTTGGAAGATGGAGTATCTATTGAACATGATAGTAGCACCATATCTTAAGTTGGATTCAACAAAGTCATGATTGCTGTTTACAATACCTCCATAATAAAAATCTTATGATGCTCACATAATGGATAAAAATCCTCTTTCTAGTGCCAATATCGCATTTACAGAAAACAAAATGGCTTTACTTACCATATTCCAATATTTTCATCAGTGAAGATATTGTTCCTTTACAGGTGGCATATTATCTTTTAAGATTGATGTTCTCAAAATGGATGCTCATATCATTTGTACTTCAAAGGGTTATGAGAAGTACATACAATTTTGTTGAAGAGCTGCTAGGTATTAACTACTATTTACTATGATTGAAGTATTAACTTATATGGCCTGGCCTGCATGGCTGCCTGTAACATTTTGTTTTGAAGGGTTGTTCATTTAATATTATTTTGTTTGTTAATGTTACGAATAGTGTATTAACAGTTATAATTTATAATTAACTGCTAAATAATTATTTACAATATTATTATAATTATATTACCACTTTTTAATAAATTAAATATTTTTTATTCTCCATCACTCCATAATTTTTCGCCATCAATTTATTGTAGGAATTTTATCTTTTTATTTTGCTTGTCTAGGTGAATAGAGGGAAATATCCTGAAGCCTTCTCATCACTTTCTATGTGTTTGGCTTCTGGTCCCACCTGCCATCCTCACCTAATTGGTTTAGGAATAGCAGTTGGTATTACACCTAATTTATACAAACCTTCTTTATCTCAACAGTTCCATGAAGCTATTGCAGCAAAATATATTGTAAGTTTATGTCTTGTTTTACACATATATTTAACAATTGATAAAGGGAGGCTAACGAGCTTTTCATCTATGACTAGAATTTATTAGTGTCCCAACCAATCTATATACAAATAAATATATTTAATTATTAAAATTTGTTTCTGTGCTAATGAGTATTTAACTATTATTTTACGCCATGGAGTAGAGTTGACCATTCTTAGGTTGTTGATATATTAATTTAAGTTACAACATATTTATTATCTATTTGTTCATATTTATTTGTCATCTTTTGATCCTTTTGAAATATAATGTATGAAATAATATATTTACTATGTATATTTCATCTACATACTTTTCATGAAAACAAAAACTGAAAATATTTATAAATTACTCTGCAAAAAGTATTTTAAAATAATTTAAAAAAAATTTATATTAGTTTTGTGATATGTTAGATATATTAGTTTTAAAAACAAATATCAATATATTCTTCTAAAGTTTGGGGTATTCTATTCAGAGATAGGCAAATGCTACTCTAAGTACCGAGTACTAAGTATTTTATTCAAATTGAATTAATACTTCAGTTAATCCTTTGACATCAACTGAAGTAATAATTAAATTCTTTGGTACTCTAGAAAGGTCAGTTTTTGAGTAAAATACGTGGTATTCATTTGCCCATCTCTGATTCTATTCTATACCACTGCCTGGGAAAAGGAGACTTTTGACTAAACTAAATTAATCCCCTGTACTCCCCTCTTGTCCAGAAAAAAGTTGTATAAAAAAACCTGGAAAGATGAGGATAATATAAGGTACAGGGAGATAGCAAAAATGATTTATTTCTTTAACTTTTTTCAGAACATAGATAAAGTTCTTGAAAAAGACAATTCATTGAGACATCTTCCCATTACTTATCGCCAAGGACTTGAGTTGGATATCTCTTCAGAAGTTGCTAATGGAAAATTAATAACATCGAGAGACGCTGTTGCAACTGTGAGAGCGTTAAATACTGTCCGTGCTGCATTGGACGGTGGAGTTCAGCTTCATGGTCCTCCTCTTTCACCATCTTCCTTGGTCAAGGTTGTTATTGTTATAATTATTGACTGTGATAAGTAACTTGGCATAATTTTGTAATCACTATTAAACAGTCCCTGTATTTTTTCATTCTCAAATTGAAATCTCAATAATCCAAAATTAAATTTAATATCATCTTCCCACCATAGGCCTTTGTCTTATCTTTTATGAAGAAATATTTTAAAACAGTAGAATCAGTTAAAATTTTATTTAAAAACACATATTGATATTGTTTTGCTATTAAGTTATTCTGTTGATGGCTACTGTCTAGTCTTTTAAAAATTAAATGATTTATTCTGGTTGAGGCTCTTCAGATGTCGGACATAATTACTTAAGGTTAGGCCAGCAGGATACTCAAGAATTTCAATAAAATTAACATATTTCTTTCTTAAACATTTTGTGAAGTTAATTTTTTCAAATATTCATGTGTTCTTAAAAGATTAAATTAGTACCCTCAATGTTTCGGGAGTAGGTCCTCACCTTCAAGACAGTGCTTTTAAATATTAGAAAAATCTTTTTCATATCAGTTTTATATTAAAAAAAAAATCATATTTATTATTATTATTATTCATATTTATTATTTTGTCTGATTTTAAATCAGTCGCTAACTATTTTATTTAAACTTATCAACCTTCCAGTGGTTAGGACAAAAAAAAAAAAAAAAAAAAAAAAAAAAAAAAGAAAGAAAGAGTTCCTATATATTATATTAGTAAATGTAGGGAATAGAATTAAGTTATTGTACGTAATAAATATTGATGTTTCATTGATATGCACCTTTATTTGTAAAACCAGTTGGCGCTTGGTGCACGGTGTTCACCGTGCCTTTTTCGTAGTGATTAATTATTTTTTCTGTTATTTAAATTCTAAATTCACTATTTTGTACATTAATATGCATTTATACAATTTCTAATAGTATTTATTTATATAAAATTTTGGTCAGTTTTTTGGTCATTACTGTTAGTTTGTTGTTCATTAAACCATAAGGCTTAAAAATTCTAAGCTGGTTACTAAAGATCTTTTTTAATATTTTTTATTATGAAAAATAAATAACATATTATTATTTTTTACTTTATGCGAACTTATAATTTAATAGATTTTAGTATTATTAATTTATCATTGCTCGATAATCAATATTTTTTTACTATTGCCAGTTGAGTTTTTCATAACTGATATTTATTTAGTTTAAAATATTGTCTTATTAAAACATGGAAATTTATAGTCTACTAACAACTGTAATTTTCTCTATATGATTACATTTATAGTATTGATTATTTTTGAAATCAGTTCTATTTTTCTGATAATTTGTTTTTTTTTGTGGTTGTTAGAAAGTTAAGGCTCTTGCAGACAGAAAGCGATAAGTTCTGGTGGTACACAGTCATATCATGATATAATTGTTCTATGCCACTATCAAAGTTAGATTTAGCGTGGTCCTTCTCAGTACAGACATAGAGATCACTTTCTGTATGCATGAGCCTTTATTGTTTCATTACCTTGGCTCAAAGTTACGTAAATTACTATATTTTATTTTTTTATTTTTAGGCTATTTCTGTTGTTTTGCCACTTGCAGACCATGATAAAAAGAAATTGGAATTCTTTCTTCTTCAGCTTCTTGCTACTTCTGAATCTCACAATGCGAGGGCTCTAGCTTCCAGTTTTTCGAAGCTTCCTCTTTTATCACCTGACGAAATATCTTCTGTCATAGAGCCCGATTATGTTGACACAATTTCACATGTGGATCTTGAAGAGTCCTCAGAAACATTGCCAAGTACTTAAACAAAATACTTTTTATTGATAAGAATCATAAAATTATATATCGTATCAGTAAATATAGGGAATATAGCTAAGTTCTTTTACATAATAAATATTGATGTTTGATTGAATTTAATTTTATAAATTAAAACATTTACTTTTTGCTATTCTTAAGTGATGTTTTGGCTTTGTTATTTAGTGTCCTTTTAATTTCATGATCCGCACTCAGAGCCTTTGACTACAATTGCACAGCAATATTGGAATTTTTCATGATCACATGAAAATAGTTCACATCTTAATACATATTTGGTTAAAACTGAAATGATAAAAATTCTAGATGCAGGAAATACTTTAGTTTGCAGTTTTCAACATTGCCTGTTTATTAATTTAAATTGTTCTCTGATAGACTAAGTGTTATGGTACTGAGCTCAAACATTATGTTTCTCTTAATCCTTGTGATAGGTAGTTTAAAACATATCTGGTGCACGCAACAAATAACTTTCACTTACTGCTCAACTTTGAATAGAAATTATTTTTTGGACTATCATAAAATTATTGAATTGCATTTTTAACCGAGCTAAAGCTAAAATCTTATAGCTTACAAATCATAAATTCCATTAAAATAACAAAAGTCCTATTTATTATATCACCGGTTGATTATGGATTGTAGGTTCTGTTGACTATAGATTGTACGACTATTAGTTATTAAATTGTTATTTTCCATTGCAAAGTTTACTAAAACGGAATTAAGAGATTTGCATTGTATGTAATAGACAGGTCAAAAGTTGTCACACTAATTGTAAGTCGATACTGTTGGAATATCACAAAGTTTAATTTTCTAAAAAGTTACATGACGATTTTTTAGAATAAACGGACGATAGATACCTATTTATTTAAATATAATATCAGATCTAGAATTATTAAACTACAGTAAATGTATTTAAGATTATAAACATATGCTTTATACATCCATGAAATGATTTTATATTTCACTTCTTCTTTCACACAAGTATAATGAAATAGTTTTTTAAACATTGTCATTGCCTTGATTAGGTAGATTTTAAATACTTTTTCAAACTTAAAAATATTTTAAAAGTTTACATTTAGTTAGTAAATTTCGTTTAATTTTCTTGAAAACAGGTGATTTACTTTAAATAATATTAGTTTTCAAAAATTATTATTTAAAATTTTTTTTGACTTGAATAAGTAATTTTTTTTTCTCCTTTATTCAGTTATAAAATTCTTTCAAAAGTTATATTTAGTATAGTTTTTCATAACTCTTAATAATGAGAGATAGTTAATTATTTAAAATAAAACATATTAAAGGTACTTTAGAGGAAGGTGTATATGAACATTGGGCATTTAAGCCCTGTAAAGTGACATCAATGTGGATAATACCTAAATGATATTAATAATAATAATATAATAATAAAAGGCTTAGCGAACCCGAAGGTTCGATGCCGACACCACCAATCGCTTATTACACACCTCCCTCCACCGTTCGCCGTCCAAACCCAGTCCCTTCAGATCGGCTTTAATGCAATCTTCCCTCCTTCGCTTCGGTCTTCCCCTCGGACGCTTACCATTCAGCACAGCAAATATTAACCTTTTAGGAATTCTCTTGTTACTAAGCCCAACAACTTTACAAGCCCATTTGATTTGCCGCGATGAAATTACCTCAGTTATATTACCTGGATACAGTTCATGCAATTCGGCGTTGTGTAACCGTCTGAACTCTCCGGTTAACTCATCCTCGTTCGGTCCGAATATTCTACGCAATACTTTATTTGCAAAAACCTTAAGACGCTGCTCATCCCTTAATGTAAGCGGCCAAGTTTCGCATCCATAAAGAACTTTAGGCAAGATAATTGTTTTATAGATTCTAATTTTTAAGTTCCGGGACAAGAGGCGCGAACTAAGTAGTTTTGTCACAGAAAAATAGCAAGGATTTCCCGACTTCAGTCTAACCTTAATCTCTTCTTCAATTTCGTTTTTTCTAGTTATCGTAGAACCTAGATACCTAAATTTATCTACCTGTTCAAACATATTACCGTTTATATCAATATCACGGACACGTGATAAATTAAAACGTTTGATAAATTGCTTCGTACGATTCATCTTCGGGATCCCAAGAGACGCTCCTGTTTCCTGTTTCTATGAAGAGTTGAAGTGGCTTTATCCTTCCAACCGCCGTAAGTATTTCCTGGCATCCTTCCTCTTCCAAGTAATTCACTCCCGCCGTCCTTCATACATCGCCGAGCTCCTTCAATTTAAATCCTCTGTCCACTCCCGCAATACCCGTTCCCGGTCCTCAGATCTATATATAATGGCCCACCGAACCGCTGCTTTCGATAAATCATTTATTATTCGATCCTCTTCCCTATGGAACTCCATCCCTCCCCACATCTGTCAATCCAAAACCCTTCCTACCTTTAAATCCCAACTGTTTAATCATTTCTTATCCATCCAGTCCTCATCATAAGATTGTAAATAGTTGCTACTGCAAATATGTATATAAATTATTAGATCGTTCTTTATTATTTTTACTTCATGTTTATTTTCAATTTTTTATTTTTATTATTAACTGATGTAAATTAGAAAGTAACTTATAATTTCTCTAAATATTTTTTATTTTGTTTTATTTTTTTTTCTTTACTATTTAATCAAACTATACTCTTGTTTATGTATCTCTGAGGCTCCTTAGCCCACATTTTTGTTTCTCTGTATTATTCTAAAGGGACTCGTCCCAGAATAAATAAAGCATTATTATTATTATTATTATCACCAGTAGTATTGCCATTTTTATAGCTAACCATATATTTTGTTTTATCCACGTTTATTTCGAGTCTTAGTTTTTTACCGGCTTTCATTAACGTTGTCGTATTTAGTTTTATAGTTTCAACGTCTTTGCTTAACAGTACCAGATCATTAGCATAGCCCAGCACGGATGTTGTCCCACCCAGATCCAACCCTTTCTCGGTACGCATTACCTCCCTAATGGCATGTTCCAATGCCAAATTGAACAGGACAGGCGAAAGGGATCCCCCTGTTTTAAACCCGAACAAACCTCAAATTTTTCCGACAGATTATTACCGATTCTAACTTTATTGAGTGTCTCCGTCAAGCACATCCTCACTAGATTTACTAGTTATTTTGGAATCCCCTGCTCGATTAGAATATTATACAGTTTCTGGCGGTCAATAGAATCGTAAGCCTTTTAAAAATTAAAGTGAATATTTTATAACATACCAGAAGGAGTGAAATTCCGCGATAGTTATTACAATCCGTCCTCGGTCCCTTTTTGTGAATCAGAATAAGAATAGATTCTTTCCATTCCTCAGGTAATTTCTCATTCACCCAGATCTTTTTAACCAACCGATGTATTTTAGAAACTCCAGCTTCCCCGCATGCCTTAATTAATTCAGTTGGAATATTATCGGTTCCCGCTGCTTTATAAGATTTTAATTTTCCGATAGCTACTTCAACTTCCTCTTTACTTGGTCCTTCTATTAACGGTTCAGCACTCTGGTACTCAGAAGGAGGACACAGATCATAATTTCCCGTATTTAAAATATTGTCAAAGTGGTCCTTAAACTTATTCAATATGTCAACCGGATCGGTCAGAATATTGTTATTATCATCCCTAATTCCAGACGTTACGGGCCCTACACATTTACGTGATCTGTTTATACCTTTGTACATGTCTCTTACGTTATTTTCGATTCTATTAGTTTCTATTTCAATTATTTTATTTTTAAGATACTCCCTTTTTTTATTTTTGAGCAATTTTGTCGTTTCGTTCTTTGAGGTTCAGAAGTATTCCAGATTGTCTTCGCTAGGATTATTTAGAGCTTTTAATTTAGCGGCTTTTCTGTTTTCGCACATGTTTAAGCAATCTTCATCAAATCAAACCACGGTTTGTTATTCTTATTTTCCTTTTTTCCTAGACACGAGTTACCGACCGCTTTAATATTATCCCTGATCTCTACCCATAACTTGTCAATATCCTCATGGTCCTCGTCAGGAAGCTCTAAAGCTTCAAACCTATTCGTGACATCTAGCTCGAATTGGGTTCTAATTGATGGATTTTTTAATTTTTCCAAATTAAAATTCTCTAAATCGAAACGGTTTTCTTTTCTCTTTTTTATATTAAGTTTTTGTCGAAGTTTCGCGATTACCAATTCATGATCCGACCCACATTCTGCTGCGCGATAAGACCGTACATTAATTATACTGCTTTGCCAGCTATGTTGTATCAAGACATGATCGATTTGATTTCGTGTTTGCGAATCCGGTGATGTCCAAGTATATTTATGAATATCCTTATGTTTAAACGTCGTACTTTTAATTATCAGGTTTTTCGAGATGGCAAAGTTTATCAGACGGATCCCATTATCATTACTATATTCGTGCAAACTTTCTTTACCAATCGTCGGAATATAAACTTCTTCCATTCCTACCTTTGCGTTCGCGTCACCTACAATTATTTTCCTGTAGTTTCGCGGTAGTTTATCATAAACCCATTCGAGTTTATCGTAAAATTCACTTTTGACTTCATCGTCACTGTCTTCGGTCGGACAATGTATGTTTATTAATGCGATTTTAAACCAACATCCCTGAAATATAGCTACCGAAATTCTATCACTAAAGAATTGTACGTCCCTCCAAGCGGATAGTAATCTACTCCTAATTAGAAACCCGGTACCTAAACAATGATTCCCGCTTCCTCCGTACCAAATAGTGTACTTTCCTTCCCTCATCGAGCCCTCCCCTGGCCAGCGAACCTCTTGCAGAGCCACGACATCCAAATTGTACCCATTTACCTCATTCACGACTGATTTTAAGCCCCCCTGCTGTGTTTAAACTCCTTACGTTCCACGTACCAATATTTAAATCCCTATATTTCAACTTGCGCCATGAATCCCCTAAAGCAGTCCCCACCCGGAGACCCGAACGGGGGACTAGTTAACCTCCGGATAATGAGCGCTTTACCTTAGGGAGATCCATGACTATTTGTGGTGTTTGGTGAACTAAAGATATGTGAGTAGGGCGTTCAATCCTACGTCACACCCTCCAGCAAGTCTGGTGGGCCCCTACCTCCAGCAAGTCTGGAGGTCCCCTCCCTCCAGCAAGTCTGGAGGTCCCCTCCTCAGCAGTTGTTGTGTCAGCTAGTCCATCGGACTTAGCCGGGAGGAACTTCCAAGGAATTTCCACCGACCATCCCCACATCCGCCACCCGTGGGACGCTCCCCATACGCGGTAATGAGCCCGTGCTAGAAAATGATATTAAAGACCACTTAATTCTACAATGATACACCGAGTTTAATAAAAATCGTTAGAGCCGTTTTTGAGAAAATTGTAAAAATGTGTTTTACCATGGATATAAAGTGGCACTTCCATTTAGCCGATTTTAAGGGAAAAGTTGCTGTCACATTTAAGGCATATACCTATCTTAGATATGTAATATCTGTTTTTTACAACTTTTTGTTTTTGAGGTAGACTGTTAATATACACCCACACCGACCATTTTGCAGAACTTGGTTATTTGGACTCAGGTTACCTCAAAACATGTATTTCTGTTGAAAACTCAGATTCAAAAATTTTCATGATCCCAATACTTTCCCTTACTATATATTACATATATAGGTAAGTGAACGTATAAATGTGTTATGTTATTTCTAATGATAGATTGATAAAGATGTTGTTTATTATAGCAACTCATTGTATTTGGACAGCACTACTTGTACCTAAAGCATTATTTCTCTCTAGTTCTACCTGTTATACTTTTTACTACCTATGACCAATCGCCGCTATCATCTGTTATTTCTATTTTTTTATGAAATAATCATTTGTAATTTTAATTTTTTTTGTGTGTGTTTATGTATACAGTTTGTAATTATCATACTTATAACTGGAAAGTATAAGGATAGGTTATATTTTTATATTCCACAAAACCTAAACTAAATAAAACAACACAAAAAAAAAAAAAAAAGATACACAATTGTCTTATCATCAATTCATAGTTTTGAAGTTGAAACAAAACTTTTAGTTTTCAACCATAATATATTAAACGTAAATTTTCAGAGGGTTCAAGTCTTGAAACAGCAGCTTTAGAAAGGCTCATCGTATCAAGTTATGATGCTGCGGAAATAAATATGGCCTTGGTTAAGCTTATGTCCCTCAAACCAACTGTGACATGGGAAAAGCTAAACAGGAATGTATGTATGAATATAATTCATAATATATAATATTACCATTGATGTTGCTCAGTTTTATTTAAAATTATTACTCATCTTGGTTTTGCAGAAATTTTGTTTTTAAAATTCTTTGAATTTTTTTATTTTTATGTAGAGTCCCGTAAATAGAGGGAATATTTAAAGGAGTGACATCAGATATCAAGAGCTACAAAAAAATTTATATAAGCAATGGCCTGATTTTCCGCAGGAAATTAAAGTTTTGTTGTTTTTTAGGTTGGTCACGGTTTTTGTTGAATAGGAAGGAATAACTAAAAACCTATTTAATTTAAGTAATTAAAAATTATTCCACTGTAAACTAAAGCAAATTTCCTTTAAGAAAAAGTAGAATTTGTTATTTTTAAAATCATTTAAGGACATAAGAGGTCTTTTGAACAGATAAACTAAGCTAAGTTCTGCTTTTAAAAAAATCATAAATTATTCTCGATTTGTTTTTATAATCCAACTATACTACAAATACTCTACTTTTAGAAACATTTCCTACATTAATTTAGTTTTTGATTATTTGCCATCTAAAGTGATGATAAATGTGTTTTTTTTACCAATATCTCTATTACAGGAATTGATTCGTATTTATAAGTTATGAAAAAATCTTTCTAGTCCTGAAATGTATGTTTAAAATACAGAAACCTGCCGATTGCTTCAGTTATTTGCATGAAAACTTAAATATAAGAATCAGCAACATTTAGATTTTTAGTTATAAATACGGATCAATTCCTATTATAGAGATATGGGTGGAAAAAAGTTTCATTATCACTTTACATGAAAAATATTTGAAAAAAATATTATTTTTATATATATATATATATATATATATATATATATATATATTTTTTTTTTATAAATGTAAAGTGCATTTGAACAATTATGTTCATTATAATACATCCCAGATAATGGGATAAAAGAAATTAAAGCTTAAAAAAAACTAAGGTGTATGCTTTAGATCACACGATAGAAGTGAAAACATCAACAAGGCGAGACTAATGATATGAAATATAAATTATAAATAAAAGCTCATTATAAAGATAATGAAATGCTGAACATTTCCTTCGCTTACAGTATGGATGTCCGACTTATAGTTTCTGAGATATTTTAATCCATATCTTCAATAAAACTCGCTATCATTTGGTTTTTGACTCTATTTTTTCTCTTTTCTCGCGTCGCATCAAGATAAAATTTTGAATAATAGCTCATTACAAAGTGGATGAAACGATGAACATTTTCCTTGCTAACAATATGTAGGTCCTATTTGTAGTTTTTGAGATATTTTAATCCATATGCAAAACACTTCAGTTAGTAGACTCTGGCCAACTTTACCCGAGTGCTATATATCGGAGATCTGACTGCTCAATATAGTTTACTCTCCACAAAAAAATGCAAAATGCGCCTAAAATAGCTTTTACTGCAGTCATTTTTGCTGAAAATAATGGTACTTTTACACAACTTAAGGTGAATCTCAGATTTTTCCTTTATAAACCTCAACTTAATTAATATGGACTTAAAGCATACTGAACAAGGAAGATTTTCTAAAAGTGGGTTATCTGTAGTATAGTTGAATGATGATAACAACAAATCGGGAATAATGTATGAGTTTTTAAAAATAGAACTTAGCTTAGTTTAGCTGCTTAAAAGTCCTTTTCAAATGGTTATAACAAAGACAAATACTATTTTCATTTGAAGTAAATTTGGTCTAGTTAACAGTGAAACAATGGTTAATTACTGAAGTCAAATATTTCTTTAGCTATCGCTTAAAAAAACTCAAAACTTAAATTTCTTACTTTTTTGCTGAAATCAGGCCATAGTTCATATAAACTGTATTGTAGATGTTGAGGTCTGCTATCACTTCTATAAATATTTTCCTTTACTTACTGGACGTCTATTTGTTATTCTTTACCTGTAAATTTTAGTATGACTTTAATATATATCTACATTGTTTTAGTGGTATGTACCTTCTACGTTAAATAGTGCTCTTAATACTCTACCTACTACGGTGAAGAGGAACTATGCTTTTATTCTGGTTGCAAAATCGTACGAACTTGACAAGATTAAGGTATTGCATGTTAATATATTTTTAAATTGATATTGATATAACCTTAATATTGTTCTTAAATTAATTTTATTCAGCTATTGTTATTTACTTGGATTATTTATTAATTATTGTTACAGAGAATATCTTAGTTTTTAGAATTCTTTATTCCATCAGTTTTATATACCTTTTTATAAAGGAACTAATTATTGAAAAGGTGTGAGTATTCAGTATAGAAATAGATATCTATGTGATGATCTGGTGAGATATAGTTTTTTATTAAATCTTCCAAATTTTCAAGGGCATTAATTATTACCAAAATTAATAATTTTGAGGAAATAACTTTATTTAATCCTTACATCATCTTTCCATACTTCAATTAATTTTTTTTTTTTTTTCGATGATGTTTCAGGCAATTTTGCCGATTTTTAAGTCGAAATATTTATATTATTATCCTATCGTCTATGTAATATTATTTTTATATAGTTGTTCTAAAAATGTTCTTAATTGTTCTCCTTACATTCTGCTAATATTAATTTCATAACTTATTTATGAAAAATCAATTCTTTGGACCGTCAACAAATTAGAATTAAAAAAAAAAATAACATCAAATGCTAAACATTTTCGTCATGAGATATAATTCGCGAACTTATGCTACTTAATTTAACAACAATAAGTATTTTTATTCACAATATTACTCAATTCTTCTTCGGTGCATACTATTATTTTCAAGTCAATTTATTACTAGCCATATTTACACCAATTTTAAAAAAAAAATTTGTTGTCACTCAATGACCACTCATCAAAATGACGACGTTTCACTGTTCACGTTCACGTTTCACTGTTCAAGTCACTGAATAGAAATGAGATGGATGACATGTGGGTGACTCAGAAACATGACGCTTGCAATTCGCATAAGTGAAATTGACAGGTACATGATGGGTATTTTAGACTTGAAAATGCTCGACGAGCCGAAACGTCGTCATTTTGATGAGTGGTCATTGAGTGACAACAAATTTTTTTAAAATTGGTGTAAATATGGCTAGTAATAAATTGACTTGTAAGTATTTTTAGTGTAATAGACATTTTATAATTAATTTTATATTCCAATAGGACCTTAGTTTTATGGACAATTGTTGAAATAGTCAACTAATTTTAAGAATTTATATTGCTTATAGTCAATTTACAAATGTACATACACCCACACTTATTTATTTATTTTTAACAGCATACATAATAATTACATATTATGGCAACCAATTTTTTTACTTTCATCAGAAAAATATATTATTTTTGTTGGTCTGTGTATCCCCAGCAGGAGGGTTAAAGGTGAAATGCAGCATTCAAATTTTAACCATGTATTGGAAAAAGATGAATGGCAGATCTAGTGTGAGGTTGTTCTTGTTCAGACTGTTATCAGATTATCGAAGTCCTATTATATACATATCCTATGATCAAACATTATGCTAAATGATACACTATATTTTTAGAATTTCGGCCAAGCTAAAGCATTGTTAAGGAATGTAATAGAAGAAACAGGGAATGATGAGATGTATGAAAAATTAAGAAATCAGCTTTCATCTGAAATGTTATTGCTAGATATTGACCAGTTCCATTCAGAATGGCCAGCTAAACATCTTGGTAATATGGTTTTTATAGTTATATACTTTTTTACACATATTTGTTTTTTGTTTTTTTAAAATCTTTTGTGTTTAGAATTGATTGGAAAATCTGAATTATCAGTTTTGATTAATTTTTTGTTCTTATGTCAGTCTCAATTTTATTGAAGTATTCAAGTCTGTATCAGACTATTCTATTGAACACATTACCCCATTTTATTTATATTCATATCTTCTTTTTTTTTCTATACCTCTTTTAAATTAATCAGTAATTTGATTTTTAATTTTATTTGAGTTTTTAATGGCTTCTTTCAATGAAAGATTTTTTGAAATATCAAATGGTATAACTTTGAATTCACTCTATGGCATAGAAATTTCACAACATAACTTAAAAACAACTTATAACAGTGCCGTGTAAAAGAGGTGCTGTCTCTATTTTCCTACATCTAATTTCTTATGACTAAAAATATACAATCTAAAAGTAAGATTTATCTTAATCATGGCTCTATTATTTTTCAAATTATGATACTTTGAGAAAGCAATGACAGAAAGGCGAGGTGGAGCTGGAGCAGCCCAACTGGAGATATAGCAGCCTTACAGACCTATATTGCTTGTGGGAGGATAGGTAGCCTGGAGGGGGTCACGCAACGTCACGTTGCTACAAACCATCATGCAGCTGCGGCCATCCATGGCTCAATAGCCGATCCCATTGGGGCCAATCTGGTAGAAAATTAGTGTCCTTCCCTCCTACTCACTCGGGTTTAAGAACATTGAGAGGTCTAGATCCATGGATTATAACTGCTCAGAGACAGCAGGTGCAGGAGGATCTATATTTCTTTTCCCGAAACATACCGTCCATGGATCAAACTTCGGGGGGACTACTGACATCCTGGTAGATCATATAAAAATATATAATATATTCAATTGCTTTATTATCATATTTTCAAATATACCCAAAACCCATATGCAAAAAAAAGAAAAAGAAAAAATAAACCAACAAAAAATCTAATTATTGTTAAAAAATATATATAGTATTATATTGTTTGTTTTGCAATAATTATGCTGATTATGTCATGTTAATTGTCATTCATTATTCTTATACATAATATAATCCACCTCAATGAAAAGTCTGCGCGCGCCTATGGCAATTTTTCAACTAAATCAGATCATCGAGAACTTACTATGACATATACATTAACTAATAACTTTTCTTTTTAAAATTTGTATTTTTAAGGATTAAGAATTTTTTGTGTTCAGATAGTATTATTGTTTAAAATATCAACATTTTTAGTTCTATAATTTTATAAATCAAACTTTATAATTGTTTTCTTGATTATATGGAAACTTTATATATTTACATGCTTCGATAATGATCGATTTAAAAAGATGCAGTGGTATAATTATGACATCTAGTTTTGCTGTTAATTAGCCGTAGAAAAAATAAATTTTTATTTTAAAACTGAACGATCTGTTGTCAGATTGGACCTGGCTGACAGAAAGGTGCTTGGAAGGTATAAGTAATATGAGAGGTGCGATAAGGGAAGCCGCCTGCTTGGCCCTGCTCAACACTGGGGCTTGGGGACCTTTGTCTTCAGCAGCACCTCCCAAGTCTACGCTAACTGAAGTATACCTGGCAATAGCCAGAGCGTCGCTCCAGATTTCACAATTCAATTCAAAAGTTTCAACAGAAGCTTGGGATAAATGTACGTAAGTTTATATTGTTAAACAGATTTGTATTTATACAGATTTTGTTAAAGTTATTTTATTATTTTTTCTCCAATATTCAATAATATATCATTAATCCGATGAGCACGGAATTGTGTTAGTAACCTTAAATCTTCTGTGAACAAATAAATTTAATTTTTAAATATTGTTGTATATCAGTTGAATAAATTAATTATGCATTTTTGAATGGCTTTTTTCTAACAGTTTATTTTGTTGATTTGAATAAGTTAATGATTCTTTGAATGAAGGAGCTGTTATGAATTTGTTAGTATTTAGTTGTTGGTATCCAATCGTTGAAATAAGTTCAAAATTAAATTTTATTATTTCCAAAAAATATGTTATTATTAAAAATTGATTTATCTTTTTATTACATAGTTATTCCTTTGTTCATGGCTGGTGGTAAGAGAAGAGATTACAAAGCATTGCGAGGGCTCTGCGGTGTGCTAGAGCCTAATGCTCTGTCCCTAGTGATTTCTATTTTAGCTAGGCTCCATAATGTACTCACGGACCAACCGCCCCTTGACCTCTATGTGCAGTTGACCCATCTTTGGCCAGGCACCATAAAAAAGTAATTATGTTATTAAGTATTTCGTATTGAAATATTTTAAAACTTTACTTAACTTGAGTTTTGAATATTATTCATATTTATCATAGATTTTAATAAAGTGATGTATGTTATTAATAAAAACAAAATATTTACCTTAGCTATAAAATATTCGTAATAACACAAATTAAAAAAAATTAACTTAATTTTTTTTGTTTTAGCGCCAATCAATACAATGTAAAACAAGTTGCTGAAACCCTTATGAAAGTATTGGAACACGCTCTTACTTACTATCCATATAATGTTTCTTGGCTTAAGCTGATTGGTGATCTACATTTTGGTTAGTAAATGTTAAATAATTATTAGCAGATTTATAAATTTAGCAGATTCTATAAAGAAATTTATTTTATGTGTTTTATTATTATTTTTATTTTATTGTATCATCAATATATGTTGTTTATGGGATGTTTTATTTTACTTTTGAACATAACCAATATATTCAGTAATTCATATTTGGTGGAACAGTGACCCTGCCAATACCAGTTAATTTTATATATTTCAAATTTTATATTTATTAAATAAAAAAAAAAATTAAATGGTTAAGTAAATCACCAGCTATGGACCAGCTTTCACAATTTTTACAACTATCGGCAATGATTGTATTTTTGTAATGGCTCCTTGTGAGTTAGGTATTTCTCTGATGTGTTCATGATTTACTTATTCGTAAATCATACTCCCCCATCCCTTTCTCATTGCCATTAAAAATATTTCTCTAAAATGTGATTCCTCTTTTGTGTAGTTCAATTGGTTTTACCAGTGAGGTTTGTGAAAGAATCATTGTAGAATTTCTTCATAGATTTTTGGCTTTAATCATTCGTAATTATTAATATAATAAAAATGAGCCAAATTAGTTTTTGTCAAAACAATAATTTATACATCATGTTCATTACTGGCATCTGTTGATTTTTTAAAATAAAAATATAAAAATAGTAATAAAAGAATATGATAAGAAAATTAAATGGTATTTAGAAAAAAAAAATACTGTGCTTTTAAAAATGTATTGATATGAATTTCGAACCTAATTCATGTCCTCTCATTTAGGTGTGTATTCATAATGATAAGGTAAAAAGCGCTATATTATAGTGTTTGTAAGCATACTGTTAAAACATTGACTAAAAGTTATTTTTCACACTTATTTTACTGTATAAAGTCAATTTTTTCCCTTATGGTGAGTGTTTTTATTTATTTTTGTGCCTACATATTTATATATATAGCTGTTATTTTTTAGTTAATGGACACTATCGTAATGCATTAGGCAGCTATCTTGAGGCTGCAGCTGTGGTTACCGAACATTTTTCAAGACCACTTCATCGAAGTATTCTTGAAGATCATATAATTAAAAGGATGATTAAATCATGCTCACAGCTTCAGTGCCATACTCAGGTTAGTTTAAAATTGCTATAATTTTTTACCTTACATTTCTAGATCGAATATTCCATACAAAAATGGTGTGCTTTGAACAACTTATTAATGTATTTATGTGCAATTCGTATCTATTTATATTTAATGGTATCTGTATTTATATACTTTCAATCTGTGTACCTATATCTATTACCTATATGCGAAAGATGTCTATTTAGTTTTAGTCATAATATAGCTCTGACGCTGATGAAAGAAGAACGTTGTTCTGCCAAGATTCTGTAAACATCAATGGCTCATATAATTTGTTCACTTAGTCCTATATACATAGAGGAGAACTTGAAGAATTTGAATTAATAATTGAAATTTTTTTTTTTGGTCGATCTCTGGTTTTTCAGAAACATATAGTTTAGGAAAAATAAGTTTATAGCTTCTGAATAAGCTATATTTTGAGTTTCGTCCCCAAAATTTAGTATGTTTTAAAACTTAGTAGTACCGTGATAGTAAAAATTTATATAACCTTTTATTATATTGTTCTCATGTGTTTTATTATTTTTTTTTAATATTGATTTCACATTTATAATTAAAACATCAATCACTGAATAGATGAATTATTAATAAAATGTGAGAAGGAGTGGATCGGGAGGGGGGGGGGTGCGGTCAAATAAATACTAAATTATAGAAATAGTATTATTTAATTATTATGCTGACGTTTTGATCCACCTTGCAGGTCTTCATCAGAGCGTGGGATTGAATAAGGCGTTGAATCAGGGCGTTGAAACACCCAGTGTTTCATCTGCCTCCCGCAGTGCCACATTCCACATTCTGATGAAGACCTGTAAGGTGGGTCGAAACGTCGGCATAATAACGTCGCTGAAAGTATTCAAGCCATTTGCTTCAGTGCTCGAAACATAAAAACTATATATAATTATGTACAAAAAAAAAATGTCCTTTTATACAGCAGCATAAAAGCATAAAGTAAATAATAAGCTTATAAGTAATTTTCCATTAAGATTTCTTCAAACATTTTTGTTACTGAATTTCTAGACTTTCAAACTTCATTACATAACTTAGACATTATTTAATTTGTAAAAAATGATCTGTGCCTTTACATATATGATCTAAGTAAGGCGGCCCATGTTGGAAACTAAGAGAAATCACTCATTGACAACATTCAATTATAAAAACAGTTTTTGAGTTAAAAACGTGGGATTTTGAGAAGAGAACTGAAATGTAACCATTCATTGGATAATAAAAGTAATTGATGAAATTTGTAGGAAATTTTATAATTTATAATTTTATAATTATAATTTATAATTTTATGAATACGAAAGTTATATAAACAATAGGTTGGTAGTTTTAAAGTTATGAACTAAAACCCACAAAATAACTTTTTTTGCATTTTTTTTCTGTCAAAGGTTTTCATAAAACCTCAGATTTTCATTCAGCAATCCAAAAAACAAACAACATATAAAATGCAAGACATCAAAAATAGCTCCAGATTTACTTTTAAAGATGTGACTGGACTATAATGATACTTAAATGACTGCCTCTAGTCTAGTAACATGATTTGCTCCAGCTGATTTTTACTGAAGATTACTGGAAACAAAAAAAAAAAAAAAAAAAAAATAAATAAATAAAAAACAGAATGTCATTATGTTGAAGGTTTTAGAGTCTGAATTAAATATTTAAACCAGACTATGAAAATGATTACTAGAATTCCACATTATTGAGTTACAGCTTGCACACTCACATGTACTTGGAAAATACCACATAAAATTTATTTATTTTTGTTTCAGGCTGGTCTATTGTGTCAACTACTTGAGGAGACTGATTATACAACTGCTTATAAGTGCTTATCAGAAGTTAATACTTCCGATGCCTCAGATTCATACCATAATTATATTTGGGATATCAATATACTAGAATTTCTCATCTCATTACATGCCAAAAGAGGAGAACATCACAGGAAGCAGGCTTTGGTATGATTTTAAATTTATTTTAACTTAAATTTTTAGAAAAAGTTAATGTTATTTAACATTTTGTCAAAAAGCAGACCAAACTACAATGGTATTGGTTGCCACTGTGGTGGTAGTTACTTCTTGAGTGTCAGACATCAGCTTTATAGACTGAAAAAACACAAATTTCTTAAATTATGAATAAGTTGTAAAAGAAATATCTTAAGACTAAGTCTACTGCTTTAATCCCTTTGTTAACACAATCTCAAAAGGGACTAAATCTTCCAGTTTATGTTAAAAAATCAGTTGTAATGAATTTCTGTTTTAAGCTGAACTAGCTTGTCTAATCCAGTTGACTGAAAGTTTCTCTTCAAGTATATTTTTCAACAGTGTCAAAGCAGAAAGGTTTTTAGTGCATTCACTGTTGAACCACTGCTGTTTTCCTAATTTTTTATCATTATTTATCTGTTTTTTATGAAAAGCACATTCTATAATACATTCTAACAATAGTTCCAGTTTTAGATCTGATTCATTAATCTCATCTAATTTTATGTAATTTAATTTAATTTCTAATTTTGATTCAAAATACAATTCATCCTGCCGTGACCACCACAATCTCTTAAGTTGGAGGGCTTTACAATTTCTGACATTATTTGTGTGACTGTAGTCCAAGACCAATTCAATAGGTATAACCTGTGTGTAAATTTGGGGGAAAACTTAATTTTTTTTTATATATTTCAGAATAGGTGCAGATGCACAAAAAATATCAATGACAGAACTACTCCTCCCCGAAATGTATGTGAAATCACCATCGGGATCACCCACCGCACGGCCATTTAATATTATTAAATCTAGATCATCACACATTTCCAAGAACGATAGACCTCTACTATTTAAAGTTGTGTCTTTAGATTTCCTGTTAGAGTTGATTAAACATTTTTCCTGTGATATGTTTTCCGGAATAATCTGCCTCTCCGCCAACCTCCCATGAATATCTCCAATAAGAATGTATTTTTTGTTAAATAACGAAAGAAAATTTAATAACCTTGAAAAGTCCTCATCCCAAACACCAAAATTTAAATAAACTAGTACAACACAAAACTTCACATTAACATTATTTACTTCAATTAAATCCCATTCATTCATTCTCATGAATTTGCATGCCACATTGCTTACAATTAAATTATTTTTAATACCTAACATAAGGCCACCACTTGTCCTGTCTTTCTTATTAGTTTTTTTTTTCTCCGATCCACATAAAATTAAAATCATTAAGATATTTTTCAAATTTTAAAGTTTCGGACTTAACTAAAAATGTCTCATAGAGAGCTATAATATCATAATACTGTTTGATAAATTGAAAAAAATAAAAAAAAAAATTAAAAATAAGTTTATTACCCAATCCACCAATATTGAATGAAAGTAATTTCAACTCAATAGGATTTAAATAATTATTATCACTTGTTTTGACCTGACAGACAGCTCTATTTCATTTATTTTGGTTCTAAATATTTTCTGAAAAAGCACCTGTAGCAATATTTCTTCCGTCTTCTGAACTTGTTTCCGCCAACAATTTCTTCATCGCACCTGATAAGTCGATGCTTGTGATTTCATTTAATTTTCTTATACCATTTTCATTACCAAACATGAGGCCTTTTTCTTCTTTCAAAACAAACTTATGATTATTCACCCACAAGGAATTATTTTGAAGCGATAACGACATTAAAAAAAAAAAAAAAAAAAAAATAGATATAGGTACCATCATAGTGGATTTTAAAATTTTGTTTAATCAATGATTTAAATTTATTCAAAATTATTTCTTTATTTCATTTCAAAATTATTAAATAATTTTTTGTTTTTTATTAAACCTTGAAATATTTTATTTTTAGGTTAGAGTTATAGGACTTTTAGAATTGAATTCTAACAACAATGAAGAGATAAAAAGAGAAGCAGAAAATATCAGGAAGAGTAATTATTTGAGAGCACTAGCGACTCATTATCTTTAATCATTATTTTTTATGTATTCATCTGTTACTGACATTTTATTTATTTTTCATGGGATGTATATTTGTAAATATTATGGAGCATCCTGTAAGGTGTTTATATGTTTATACATTGTAATTATGTATATATTTTTGTAAAAAGTTTTTAAAATTTTAATAAATTATAATAATTTTTTGAGATGAACTATTTTTAAATAAAATAAATAAATTTTAAAAAGAGATTTGTTATTGAAAATTGTATTATGTTATATATTAATTGTAAAAATATTCGAATTAGTATATTGAAATTTGTATTTAGGTTTAATAACTGGAATATTCAGTAAAGAATACTTAAGTCAAGAAAATCTATCATCACTGAGTGATTGAGACAGTATGGGAAATACCCCTAAACATTTTTTTGTAAAATAAAAAACGAGATATGCATTATCAACCATCCCTGCCAGTTCAGTTTAAGAAATTATACTTTAGAGTTTAACAGTAGTAAAAATACTATTATACTGCCCCATGCTCATAATATGACTGATCAGAACATCAGTGTTTGAAATTAAAAGCTTATTTCTATACTCAATCAATTCCGATATGACTTGAATCTTTATTTTTATTTTCAATTATTTTTGTGTCAATTTGGAACTAGAACTTTTTGCTATGGAACATTTCAATTAAAGGTTTTCTAAAATAATTGTGCAGTACATTTTCCGCAAAACATAACGAATAATATCTATAATCTAAGCCAAATTACTATTTATTTCTCAGTTACATAACCTTTTGTTAAGAATTTGGACAATAAAAATACCATTATGTTATGGGAGTTGTAAAATCCATTATGTAATCAATTGTCACATTTAATAAGCTCAATTGTTTAAATAGTGTTAAAATTAATATTATCGGTTGTTAAGGATTAAGTGTATTGTTCAACTCAATTATAAAGTTAATCTTGATTCACCGATAATATTAAGATATGTCATGTGTGTATTAGAGGGACTCCTTAATGGGGTAATTAGAAAAAATCTGCCAGATAAGTTTGATTTAACTTCCTCACAATTTCATTGGTTATACTTATATTTCAAGGTCTATAATTTTTAGTTTGAGATTTAAACCATCGGATGAAGATGTTTTCAAATATAGTAATCTCTCAACATCAGCAGGTTTTTTATTCACAAGTTTTGATCATCAGTGAATATGGAGAAGTTCCATATTTGCAAATTGTGTTTTTGACTATTGTGTACTAAAAACACAAAATTACGAACTTACAAAACCAACGACATTACAAAAATAATTAACAGGAAAGTATTCATGTACATATCGAAGATGCATATGTACTTAAAAGTTTTTTTTTCATTTACAAAATGGATTTAACAAAAATCCATTGGAAAACTTCAATTTTTTGTTTGTTGGTGTTAACGTAACCGACGTTTTCCATCAATCAGAACAAAACTATTGTAAAGACAAAAATTACTTCAAATGAAAGTAGAGTTTGAAGCGTTGAAAAACCATTTAAAGTAGACTTTTGAGGGGTTTAACTATGTTCTTTTTTTTTTTTCTTCTTTTTTTTTAACAATATAAATTATTTGCGATTTTGTTTTAACACCCTCTAACTATACTACAGATATTCCATTTTTAGACAAATTTCCTTGTTTAATATAATGAGTAGGTGTGTGACTAAGTTTTAAAATCATATTAATTAATTTGGTATTTTCATAGTTTATTTAGTAATAAGTTGAGATTCAGCTCAAATAATGTAAAAAAAAAAAGAAGTGATTTATTGACTAATCACCTTAAAGTACAAGTGTTTTCAGCAAAAATTAGTACATTTATTGCAAAACTATAATTTATTTTTTTCTCATGACTTGGGATATTCTGTTATAGATTAAAGGTTCTTGCACTATTGATGTTGAGAGGAATGGGCACCCCTTCCAGTATATATACAAATTTTAATTTTTATATCGCTGTAATTATACAATTACGTATTAAATAATACCAAAGATAGTATTAATGAAAACTACATATGTATAAGTATATAATATTATTGGAGTCCATATTATATTTAGCTCCTGTTACGTATGGAATCCTGTTCTAATCTTCCGGGTGAGCTCGGATGCACTTGCCGTAGTTTGGAGACCCGTTGTATAATTAAAGAAATAAGCCAGATTGTTCGAAAGAAGTGGATGGAATTTATTAAAATCTATACTATCAAATGTAATGCTTACCTACCTGTATTAGTGAGGAAGCAAAAATTAAATGGCTGGTTCTTCCTAGAAACCAATCGAAGCTACTGACGTCTTCCCTCTCCCCCACATATTGATAAATTTTTTTTTTATATTAGAAGCCATAGCTGCAGTCCCGGCTGTTCCTTCCCTCTTGACTTATCTTTAAATTTCCGGTTGGTGGTGAACACCCAAGAGGCTTCTCCACTGGAACAGGAGTTCGGCAAGGAGAAGAATTACCATACCTGGTCTTCAATCTCAACCTGGAAAAGAGACTTAGAGGGATCCAGACAACTGGTACACTCGTTAACTTCTAAGTGAATGAGATGGATTTGCTGACGACATTGACATAGCTGGCAGGTCACTAGCAGCAGTCAAGGAAGCATGCTTGAAAATTGAAAAATACTGCTATAGTAATAGCTGAAAAACTATAACAAAACAAAGTAGCAAACCCTCAACCGATGAACGTTGAGATCTATATCCAAGTTGATGGGCAGATTCAGATGATACACGAAGTTTCATAGTGGATGTTAATAATTTGATGAAAAGGAGTCTGTACCATGGACTATTTACTTAACAACTGATATCTTTAAATCTATTTGTTAATTTAAATTGTAATGTTAATTACTTACTTACTTATCCACCACTACGACGTTACTTAGAAAGTAACATATAATTTCTGATATTTAAAAATTTTTTTTTTACTATTTAATCAAGCTATATTCTTGTTTATGTATTTCTGAGGCTCCTTAGCCCACATTTTTGTCTCTGTATTATTCTAAAGGGACTGGTCCCAGAATAAATAAAGCATTATTATTATTATTATTTTCGAATTTCCCACTTTCTTGGCTTTTGCCAGAAATATTTACCTACCCGGACCAAGGTCAAGGGTTAGGCTCAAAATTTAAACTATATTTAAGAACTTCCTGACGATGTTCGCTGTGCCTAGGAGAACTGCTTTTTGTACTTCTTCCAATACTTTCTCTGGCAGTTTCAAATTTTCGACAGAGCGAATGGCATCGTCTGGGATGAGGCCATTGCTGGAAATTACAACTGGATGTACCTGGACTTGATTCAGTTTGTAAAGTTGCCGAAGCTCTTGGCACAAGTCTTGATATTTCCTAATCTTTTCAGAAATAGTCTTTCTGATATTATCATCGGTTGGAACCGCTATATCTATGACCCACTTTGTTTCTTCCGATCAATTAATACAATGTCCGGTTTGTTATTAACTACTGTGTGGTCTGTAATTATAGATCGATCCAATATATTATTTTCTTTTCTTTTGGCAGCACTGGTTTGGGCTCATATCGATAATAAGGTACCTCATTTGTTATCATGATATTGAATGAGGCCAGGGCTTGGTGAACAATTTTGTTCTCATCAGTTAGTCATTGTGTCTCATCAGATATTCTTTATCTGCCAATGCTTGACATCCAGACGAAATATGTTGGATTGATTCCACTGCATAAGCGACATCGGTCACTTACATTTTCTCCACATATATATTTTTTGTAAGCATTGGTGGATACTACCTGGTTCTGTATTGCCAAAATAAACCCTTCAATTTCAGGAAATAGGTATCCTTTCTTAAGCCATTTATTAGAGGCCTCCCAGTTAATTCCCGATTGAGATAAAACATTGTAAAAACGACCATGTAGTGCTTTACTCTTCAAAATTTCGACCAGATTTTGTTCGGTGGGGACTTCTTTATGTTCCTTTGAAACTAAGTTTAAAGCTGGTTAGGCATTCAATTTTTTCAATTCAACTATAACTGGACCATATATCCTCCTCAGAACTCTTCTTTCGAATCTCAGAAGAGAGATATCGTGTGCTTGAGTAAGGATCCAGTTTTCTGAAGCATATGTGAGAACCGGCCGGATGAGTCTTATACAACCTGACTTTCAAGGATTTGGAAAGGAGACCACCACTCATATGCTTTTGCAGAGCAAAATAATAGTGATTAGCTGCCATAATCTGCTATTTACTAAGTTTCAGGCATATGTTAATAATTTGATGAAAAGGTGTCTCTACCAAGGACTAAAACTATTATACTTACAATGAGACATAAACAGATTTTCGATTAGTTATTTTATCTCTTAGTTTTCATCGGATCTTTATGAAATTTATATAAGACAATTCCGAAGGTATATACCAGTGCCGGCCTTGGGGCAATTGCCGACATATCTTCAGGGGCGCTCGCCACTTGTTAGAAACTAATAAAAAAATACATTCGTATTAAAATAATTCAGTTTAGCCTGTTGAATGCAATAACATTCGAATATTACATGATATAAAAAAAATAAGAAATAAATTAAATTTTTTTAGAGGTAAGAAATGACGTTATTGGCCGGGGGCGCCGAATTTCCAAAGCCGGCACTGGTATATACACTATAGATTAAAAAAAAAACAAAGAATAATTCAAGAATGACGAAGTTACGAGAGAAAATATTTAAATAAAATAATAATTAAGAACTTCCTTTTTTTAACTTGTTTAAAAATTAATATCCCTACACGGTTCTGCGTAAAAAATAAACACGAATCAGGTCACGTGTTGTATTTTAGAAAATACTGTTGTACTTCGCACATTTCTAATGCGTACTAAGCCCAACATTGTAATTCAAGTGAAGTGTTAATTCTTCATATAATTTAATCCACTCTTCCAAAATATGGTAAAAATAGGTCTTCTAATTTGGAAAAATAAATTAGATTAAGATTATGCACATTTGGATACAATTTTTTTATTATTATTTAAATTTACAACGGTATTAAATGATAAATACAAGTAACATTCCATGTAAAACATGAAGAGAAAGTACCCATAGGTAGCACTCCAATTATGTTTCTATATTAGAAGATCCCAAAGCCATCTTTTTTTCAGGCCCCTCGGAGTGTTATTAGGAATAGAAGAGGAAGCAATGTTGTAAACAAGAGGGTTCGGATGGTTCAGAAGTTTATTATGGAAGGATAGGTATCTGGATTGAGCTAAATCCGAAACATATGGTACATTAAGGTTGTTGTGGATGATTTTATTTGTGACAAAGTAGGGAGCATTG